CAAATACAACCGATTTAGCATACTCATCGGATGGCGAGAGCTAGTAAGCTGTCTGATATAATAGGAAATGATGAATAATGCTAGGAAATAACCAAAAAATGATATAAGAGTGAAATATACACATCATTGGGGCAGATAACAATGCCACTGGTAGAGACCGATGATGAATTAATCATCTGTCATTCCTTGAAATGCCCCTGTCCCACCCATTGGGAATAATGATTTCTTATATCCAGTAAACAACTCAGCTAAAATGCCGAAGTGCTCTTGACAAATATCTCTGTATACTTGGGTCCCATCGATTGTACCTTAAAAACAACTGGATTTCTGTACTGTAACCTTGATATATTTCTTGAAAGATTTGCACGTACTCATAATCAATTAGCACTTCCTGTAACAGTTGTGAAACTTCAAACGTTGCTCCGGGTTACAGAGAAGAAACCGATGAAAAACAGATCGTTGTCGCGGAGCTTAGCGATGAAAGTTCTGCACTAGGTAAATATCATCGTTTTCTCCCATTAAGCAACACTGGGTCGGGAAAATGCAAATGAATAAGTTTCAAATAAATGCGTGATGAAAATGGTGAATAAGACCCATTCCAAAATGCTTGGCAATAGTATGCGGCAGTCAAAGCCTCCGTAAAAATCAATAAAATAAATAATTTCACTGAGAACAGCATGCAAGCCTTTGCGAGCATGGTAATTCAAACTACCGTTTGTCTGATTATATTTGTCCTGCTTTTGAGTACTGATCGTCCTAGGAAATAAACCATTCGAGCCTACTGGTCCATGCTAATTAGTTTGCAAGCAGATTGTCTTATTTAAAAGCTTGTTCTTTTTCACAGCTTTCTCGAGGCTGTGTCCAGTTGCTAATTATAGCGCCTTCCTGTTGATCCATTTATGCCGAATATCAAAAAAATTTATACAGGTATTGTAGCATATATCGACTCGTTGTCTGCTTTAATAACAGTTAATGATCCTCTGATTTCCATCCATGATACAAGAACAACAACTTAAAAGGATGATGAAATTTGTTTTACTCATTGGTGGGTGTTAGCGCCTCACATTAGCGTCAACTTCTGGGATACACCATGCAATTAAAACACGGACAAACTATGGAATGACCTATTAATGAATGAAACTAATTCAGTTAACTATCAAACACCTTTCCTAGTATAGCGCTTTTTATTTGTATCATATATCACTACGATATG